CCTGTCAGGACAACCATCGGCTGCCGCTGCCAGCGATCACCGTGGGTCTGGTGCTTGGCCTCTACAACATAATCCTCCCCCCCCCCCCCCCCCCCCCCCTAGCAGAAAGGTGGTCTCTTTCTATATATAGATAGATCGTCAAAGGGTGTCGCCCGGTATGTTGGTTGTTGTTTGGGGGTTGGGGGGGGGGGGGGGGGGGGGGGGGGGGGGGGGGGGTGACAAACTGTTTCGTTTAGGTTCATAAGTATATTGTCACACTGTAAATCGGAGCACAAAGGCGGAATTGAAAACAAAACAAAAAAAAAGGAAAGAGGTATATATTGATCATCTATTCCAATCCGGTCAGTTCGGCCCAAGGGGATATGGTTGCGGACTCGGGGCCGAGGTCACACTGGCAAAAAGGATTGGCTTGAAATGCCTGAATCTGGACGTGTTTTAAGCAGAAATGCAGAAAAGCAGTTCAATCTCGATTTCCTGCACATCTCCAGAAACTCGTCCAGATTCAGGCAGTCGATCCTATCCTCTTTGCTAGTGGGACCACGGCCCTGGATTATACTATAGTAACTATACATACCCCTTTGGGCATTTAACTTTAACGTTCCTTCCTACCAGTTTAATTTTGGCATTTTTTAACCGAAATCGTCAGGGCTTAACGTTTTCCCACCAGTAAAAGACCTGACGATTTCCCGCCAGTAAAAGACCTGACGACGGCTTTCCGCCAGTAAAAGACCTGACGATTTCCCGCCAGTAAAAGACCTGAGGATTTCGGTTTAAAAAAAATGGAAAACGTTGAAATTCCGACAAGGAACGTCAAAAGCTAGTGAATGCCCAAACGCTGAAATTCCGACCAGGAACGTCAACAATAGGCCTTAAAAAAAAAAAAAAAAAAAAAAAGTCGGAAACTCTAGAACGGTTCAGTCATTGCGTGCAAATAAATAAAACGCGCATTCTTTTTACGCGCGCGCGCAGGGAGGAACAAGTACGGAGGCAACGGACGACACTGCGATTTTTTTCCCATTAAAAAAAAAAAAAGCCAGATAATATTATTTTGTTCTGTTTGCACGGAATTGGTCGAAATAATGACATCTTCGGCAAAACTTATGAAAACCCTAATTTTCGCAAAAAACGAACAATCTTTTCTCTCTCACCGAAATTCATGGCGAAATTGACAATGGCAATGAAATTATTTCGCCAAGTTTGGAGGGGAGGAGGGGGGAAGGTGGGAGGGGGAGAATCTAAGAACCTACATTTATGATTTATCACACACCTCAATTGATTGACTTTTTTTTTTTTGCATTTTCCAATGATTTTTACTTTTTTTGGGGGGGGGGGAGTAAACCTGGAACCTTCGTTTCCAACCAACGAAATTTGGCTTTTTGTTTTTTTTATTACCCTTTTTTGAAATTTTCCCCTCCATATACAGCCAAGCTACGTTCTTGTGTCCCACCCAGGTGGTTAACACTAGGGTAGGACAGGGGGTGTGGAGGTGCACCAGGGCAAAGAAACAAAGATGAGAGGAAGGGTGGGTGGGGTCTTCAGAGGGGTTCATCTGGACAACCGAGTGGCCGAGCACAGTGGGCGACTTTCATCGGTCTAGTATCCCACCTCTACAACAACCTGGGCTTTAAAAAAAAGCCAAAAAAAAAAAAAAAAAAAAAAAGAAAGGTGGTGAGAGGTGAATGGAAGAGAAAATGTTACCTAACAGTGCTCCCACAGTTAATACCGATTTTTTAATTTTTTTTAAGGGAAAACAAAGGGCGACGTTGAGACATCATCAATCAATCAATGAGCTGACCGGGCCCACGTAATTCAAAATGATTTTATTCTGTTCATCTGCTTGAATCTGGATTCGAACTCCGAGTCTTAGGCTACCAGCCGGGCCGCCCGGGTCACTCTGTTTTCCCGGGCGGCCTGGCCGTGCAAGGACCAGAGAAGATCCCAGCCAAAACAAAAAAAAAAATCAGAAAAGAAGTAAAAAAATCCGAAAAAAAACAATGTTATGCAGAAAAATAAACTGAACAACTTTGCCTCGGGGTCACATCGAAATTTTTTACCAAATTTAAAACTAAAACTACCTTTTTTTTTCTTTTCTTTTTTTGTTGGGGGGGGGGGGGGGCCGGCCGGGCAAATGGTCCCGGGCCACTCTGGTAGTAGACACTAGCTTGAATCTGTATTTCAATACTTCATGGGTGTGTACCAGCTGAGCTTGAGCTCGATACCTTGGCCTGCTAATAATACCGTTGTCGTGTGAAACGCGGCACTTTTCGACCGGAATGTACACACCAGTACAAAGTACTACAAACACAATTTCGATTAAAAAAAAAAAAAAAAGTCCGTTTAAACGAAACTCGAGGGAGAAAGGAAAAGGAGCCGACAACACGGAAAAGGGAAACGAGAGGAGGGAGGAGGGAGGAGGGAGGTGATGGGACAGACGTTACGAAGGGAGGGGGGAAGGGGGTGGGGGTGGGGGGGAGGAGGAGGAAGAGGAAAGGAACAAGACGCTTCCCTGCACGTATCCGACAGAAATTACGGCCAGATTCATTCAATAGCGCTGAAGAGATATCCAGCAGAAGAGCTGAGATGGCAATCCGGTAAGTGAGTGAGGCAATACTTGCGCTCGGCATTTTCCTGGACTTATCCGACTGCAATTACGGCCAGATTCGTTCAATAAAATCCTACTAGGAGTATACTCTTAATTACTACCACACGCACGATCACGAGAGCAAGACCCGCAGATCGTGGGGCGATAATCGTCAGACGAAGATAAGATGAGAGAGGAAAGGGGGGAAAGTCCGGGGCCTTTAGGCACTTTCCTGAACGTATCCGACTGTAAATACGGCCAGATTCATTCAATAAACTCCTCCTAGGAGTATGCTCTTAATTACTACCACACGCACGATCATAAGAAC